TGCCTATAGACTCAACACTGCACCATAGACTCACCACCCACTTACTCACCCACTCACTCACACCCAACCACTCACCCACCTACTCACCCACCCACTCACCCACCTACTCACCCACCCACTCACCACCCACTCACCACCCACTCACCCACCCACCACCACACTACTCACCACCCACTCACCCACCCACTCACCACCCACTCACCCACCCACTCACCCACCTACTCACCCACCCACTCACCCACCCACTCACTCACCACCCACCCACACCTACCCACACACCACCCACCCACTCACCCACACACTCACCACCACCCACTCACTCACCACCCACTCACTCACACTCTCACCCACTCACTCACTCACCTACTCACTCACCCACCCACCCACTCACCCATCCACTCACCACCCACTCACTCACCCACCCATCCACCCACCCACTCACTCACTCACTCACCTACCCACCCACCCACTCACCCACCCACCACTCACCCACACCACCCACTCACTCACCAACCCACCACTCACCCACCCACCCACTCACTCACCCACCCACCCACTCACTCACCCACCCACCCACCACTCACTTACTCACCCACCCACTCACCCTACTCACCCACTCACCACCACTCACCACCACCCATCACCCACTACTCACCACCACTCACTCACCCACTCATTCACTCACTCACCACTCACCCACTCACCACCCACTCACTCACCCACCCACTCACTCACTTACTCACCCACCCACTCACCCACCTACTCACCCACACCACTCACCCACCCACTCACCCACCCACTCACCCACCTACACCACCCACTCACTCACCCACTCATTCACTCACTCACCCACTCACCCACTCACCCACCACCACCCACTCACCCACCCACTCACCACCCACTCACTCACTCACTCACTTTTTCAAGATTCACTGCAATTAAATCTATTATCGGCTCAATTTTTCGTAAATATTACAGCTTCCGTTCTAGGATTGGCAAACCGAGCTAGTAAAGTATAAGCTGACATACTTTTACAGATTTTTTTGTTAAAATCAGGCGCGTTAGGTTGTCGTGAGGGACATTTACCTCAACTTTATCGGGATAAACGACGTGGCAACGATTAACGAGGGTTACTTTCTTTATTTTCACAACATTTACTTATTATACTTTCACGCGCGGAGTCACCCGAAGGCTTCCTGACCCCCACCGAATTGGCGGGAATTTTCAAATGTTTCGTAAAAAATTACCTGAAACCAGTTGCCCGTGTTTCCCTGTGCGACTAGTCGCCGGGGGGGACAGGACCTGGTTGCATTGTCCGCAGGTGCCGGTGGGCACACCTCCCACATTGCTGCCGCAACCGTGGATTCAGTTTGGTAAGCGGAGCTGGTTTGTACACCCCTCTCGCCGTGTGAGTTTGTCTCCTCTCCGTATCGCAGGGGCCGAGTGTGGGCTGTGCCTGGCGAGCCGGGCCGTGCGTCCGCTCGTGTCGGCCTCGCGTGCTCTGAACGTGAAGGACACGACGACCCGGTCGACTGCTCTTCGTGGGGAGTCAGCTTCCAGGCAGAGGTCGCAACCGGGTACCCGATACCCGTACCCTACCCAATAGCCGGCTACACGTACCCAGCCGGGTACGGGTAGCCGTTTGCGACCCTGGTGCGGCCGGGTACTGGTAGGCCGTGAGTCACTGGTGAGTCACCGTTTGTCACTCATTTCCCAACGTCTTGTCTCTTCTCACAATTCAAGTTCATAGAATCAACCCACTCGCGCCTGCAACATGGCTTCATCCCAGAGGTCACAATCAGGTATCCGATACCCGTACCCTACCCGATAGCCGGCTACCCGTACCCGGCCGGGTACTGGTACGGGTACCCGTTTGCGACCCTGGTGCGGCCAGGTACGGGTAGGCCGTGAGTCACTGGTGAGTAACCGTTTGTCACTCATTTCGGGTAGGGTACGGGTAGGCCGTGAGTCACCGGTGAGTAACCGTTTGTCACTCATTTCGGGTAGGGTACGGGTGGCGTACGGGAACCCGCACCGGCCGGGTACTGGTACGGGTAAGGAATCAAAACCCGTTTGCGACCTCTGCTTCCAGGGCAGATGAGCCCGACCCGCCTGGAGGGCCGGCGTCACGGACTCGTTCGAAGATTCGACTCTCACGATCCCGCGCGTTGCACGCTCCCACACCGCCGTGGCTTGTCGCGCTGCGTGAGTCGTGGCGAGCGTTTGGCTGATCCTTTCCGCCATCGAGCTGACGGGCGTTGTTTACACGTTGTGGGTGGGAGATGTCTATTGTGGGGATCTTGTAGGACGCGATTGTTGTGTTGTTAATTTCTCTCGCTGCTGTGTTTTTTTTCTCTCTCTCGGTGTACATATTGTACAGTTGGGTTTGGGTAATTTATCGTGCTGTCTTGTTATTGTAGGAGCGCACCTGCTTGTTGTTATGTATAAGTACGTCGGTTGCTTACTTGCGGGGGAGTTGGCAGCCGGGACGGCTGGAAGCTACAGAGAGGGGGGTGATGTAGTGACTGTGAATGTCACCGTGTGCTGCCGGGCTTACGAAGCTACGGCGGATAATGTGTTCGCATTAAGTGCAGCCCGCTCACTGGGCGTAGTACCAGCAGCGCTAGCGGGGACTTGGGTGAGCGCTGGTCAGCGCGGAGGCACCACGTGCAGTGTGCGGTGAGGGAGCGAGAGGGAGCGTCAGCCAGCCAGGGTTGCGTTGGGGCACGATACGCCGGTTGACCTGCCGACTCGTCACCGGATGATGTTGGAGGGGAGCCACCGGTGGACGGGGGCGGCTGGACGGTCACGTGGTATAGAAGAGCTCTCGGGAGCCTTCGTGAAAGAGTCGGAGAGATCTAGAAGGTGGGCGGGGCGAGGGCCGGAGCCAGCCCAGCCCAGGCCGATATAACGGGGGGGGGGGGGGGGGGCCCGTGAGGGGGTCGTGGGTTCTTCGTGTGGCCGGTGAAGATTCGGGGAGAAGAAGCCTCTAGCCACGCGCTCCGGGAGACAGCAGCTCGTGGTCCGGGCCGGGATAGCGAGCCGTGTCTAGTTGTGCCGTAGCGTGGGATAGATGGGCCCTCAACATAGTAGTAGATTTTACCCTTTCAACTGGTACAAAACTGACACCTTTATACAAGGGGTCATGTTTGCAATAACCACAACACAAGCAGTCAAAATGCAAACAAAAAGAAACTCTGATGATGATGATATGCACTGTCCTTGAAGTTGATTGGTCCACACCCGAGACAGCTTTCCTTAGAGCCCAGTCTCCATTGGTGTTGGACCAGATGACGCACAAGGCGCAACTCAACACCCAAGTGTAGCTCGTGTTGTGTTGAGTTGGTGAAATAGCGTTGCTCCCAAGACGTCTTCCGACTCAGTTGGATTCACTACGTATGTCTATAAAACATGGATTTAAACAAATGCAACAAGCCTCCAGGAAAATTGTTCTTGAAGCACGGCGAGAAAAAAGGCACAAATGTTTAAGAGACGCAGCACGTCATTTATTGCAGATAGTTTCACATCAATAATGTAATCTCAGTCAACACTCACCGTGTTATTATTGATCCCCCATTATTGGCAGACATTGTGTCAAAGGTAGAGGCGCAGCCCTGCAATTCCTGCTCGTGCCACCGCTGGCAGATGGGGCACCACGAGAGGCGGGGGGGAGGGGTAATTTTGACTTTTTCACGTTGGCCAGAGATCTTTGAAGAGGACTTTGTACACGATATGAATACGTCATGACCAATGCCGACAGGAACTAAACGATGTTTGTCGTGAGTGTTGCTGCGTTGTGCATGTTGTCGACTTCCCACAGGATTATAAGATAAAAGGCGTCGTGATGTTCTCACAGGTCAACAATCTTTAGGACCCGACGGGACATTCCATAACTAAAGCTTCATCCTCTGTTCCTGAGGATATCGTTTGGTTGCTTAGTACACTAAGAGAACAGATTTAAAAATAATCCATTCTAGATTTGACGCTTTCATGACTGCAAGGATTCATACTCTTAGGTGTTTTCTGGTAAAGTCACGTGGGTAAAAAATAAGTAAATACAATTTATATAAATAATAATACAAACAAAAATAAAAAAATTATATATAACATTTTTTTATTTCTATTGTTTATTATTTTTATTCTTATTTTCCCCTACGTGACGTAGAAATACTAATAGATAAATAAATAAATAATTATCTTTAAATATATTTTTTATCTTTTTTTTTTTTTTACCTACGTGACTTTACCGAAAAAAACGAACACTTTCAAAAGAATCCTTTTCTCGGAACATGAAAATTACTTTTTTGAGGCGACTGCGAGTATCCAGCTATATTTTGACACAGCTCTACTACTTAAGATTTATGTTCCATTAAAAGTTAAGATTACGTTTAAAAATCACGACTTACGTCGGTAACGCTGAACACACAAATTCATTATGAACGATCAAAGACAAGTCTGACATTGTCACTTAAACAAGTGTTTTACAGAAATTCAGGCAATTTAAAACAACACGTCACCACAATTTCTTGGCTGTAAGTTTTGTTTCTGTGTAACCAGTTTTCAAGACTTCAAGTCAAATTGTGTAAACGCACACAATCAAACGTATCCCACGACAATTCTTTGAACATTTAGGTTGTAGTAGTTAGCACCTTTTAACGCCTCTGAATTTTCATCCGATTCAAACCCCGAGCCATTTAAATGTTTGCATCTCTCATTGCCACTGCCAAAAAATTAATTCCCTCAAGTTTAAAAATATTAACGATGCAGATATTACGATGCACTTTCTAAAGACTTGTACTATTTACTGTTCAACGCCTGACAGAGGTCGGACCACACGTTAATGGAAGCCTCATTTTGTAAAGAGAAAAGTAAAAAATTGACATGGCTTGGTGATGGCCGTTCCCTCTCTTCTGAGGCGCTCGCTCGTCATCGTGCGTGCGAGATGACCACAACCACCACAACCACCACCACGTGACTTTATTTCGTGTTGCGCTGCATTTAGTGCCACAGCGTGTGGATTTACAGCGTTCATTCGTTTGTTTGCTGGTGACTTTGTGTATTTCATATCGGAATCGCCTCCAGTGCTGTTGCTGCTGGCGGCAATAAAAGTTGTGTACAAGTCCAAAGTCTCTGTCTCTCTTCTCGTCTTCACTGTCGCTGCCCGTCGGAGCTCGGCGTCTACGGCTCCTCTCCTAGGTGGGCGTCCCCGGCCCGAACGCTCGCAGGAAGCCCTCCTGTGTGGCAGCACAGAAACAGAACGGAAAGAGAGCCCCACCACCACCATCATCGTCATCATCTTCACCTTTTGGCGTTGTTCTATGATCTGATACTGGTGGTGAGTCACTGGTACAGAGACACTGGGTAGTGAGACACTGGGTAGTGAGACACTGGGTAGTGAAACACTGGTACAGATACACTGGGTAGCGAGACACTGGTACAGAGACACGGGGTAGTGAGACACCGCTAGTGAGACACTAGGTAGTGAGATACTGAGTAGTGAGACACTGGTAGTGAGACACTGGGTAGTGAGACACTGGGTAGTGAGACACTGGGTAGTGAGACACTGGTACAGAGACACTGGGCAGTGAGACAATGGTAGTGAGATACTGGGTAGTGAGACACTGGGTAGTGAGACACTGGTACAGAGACACTGGGCAGTGAGACACTGGTAGTGAGATACTGGGTAGTGAGACACTGGGTAGTGAGACACTGGGTAGTGAGACAATGCTTGTGAGACACTGGGTGGTGAGACACTGGGTAGTGAGACACTTTGGTTGAACGCGTGGAATGTTCGAACGCTCACTGCTGAGGAGAGGCTGCCACTCCTCTGTCGGGAGCTGGACAGGTACTGCCTGGATCGCTGTGGCATTCAGGAGGTCCGGTGGACCGGCTCTGGCTCCTGACATCATGAGGGGTGGACAGTCCTCTACTGGGGGCAGGAGACTGCCAAACAACAGGGAGTGGCTCTTCTTCTGAATAAAAGAATGAAGGGGGCATGGGAGCGTGGCGGTGAGGTGTGGGAATTGTAAGCCCCAGACAACTTTGGGCTCACCTTTCCATCAACCAGAGGCGAGGAGTGGTGGTCGTGGTTACTTATGCCCCCACCGAAGACGAACATCCGTGGAGGGATGCAGACAAGGCCGATGAGTCAGATACCTTCTATGACCTCATGTCACAGATGCTGGCTAAAATGGCCCCTCGGGATAGAGTGAATCTTGTTGGGTGACTTCAATGCCCGAGTTGGTCATGATGCTGGCACCTGGTCTGGAGTGATTGGAGGACATGGGTCAGATCAACTCAATAACAACGGTAGGAGGTTGCTCGATTTTGTACAGCTCATGGGCTTGTAATTACCAACATGCTGTTCCGGCGCAGTGGTGTTGATGATAGCGGTGTGTAACCCCTCACCCAGCCTCCCTGTTCCATGAGCCAGGTCTTGCGTGTGGTCAACAGCACAGCGGCCACCGCGTCCGTCAAGGGCCAAGTCTCCTCCGAGTCGCCCAGACGACCGGAGGCCCTCAGGTTCTTGACGAGCAGCGCGCAAAACACCACCATGGACAGCACGCAGCCCCAGCTCATGGGCCCCGCGGTGAGAACCTGCCAAGCCAGGGTCATGACCAGCCGGCGCGGGTCCACTTGCTTCGCCAGCTCCTCCGCGCGCCTCACAAAGTCTGGGATGGAGGCTTCGAACTCCGCCAGCAACGCGTCTCCTCGGGTGTCCAGCGCCTCCTGCAGAAGCTCCACACGCATCCGCACCAGCCGCCGGGAGGTCTGGAGCAGCGAGCGCACCTCCCGAGCTGCCGCTGTATTTGCCGCGCCTGCCGCTGCAGCTCCTGCCACTCCTTGAACTGCTGCAACTGCTGGAAATGCTCCTGCTGCATTTGGTGCAGCTGCTTGAACCGACGCATCAGCTGCACCTCCTGGAGCTGATACTTCTTCTGCAGCTCCTGCAACAGCTGCTGCTGCTGCTGCACATCCAGGAGCTGCTCCTGCTGCTGCAGCTGCTGCACAAGCTCCTGTTGCCGCTGCACCTGCTGGAGCTGCTCCTGCACCTGCTGCATGTGCTGGAATTGCTGCTGCCAGAGCTTCTCCATCCACTGCTGCTGCTGCTGCTGCGACAGCAGGAGATGTTGCTGCACCGCCGGGAGCTGCTGCTGCAACTGCTGCAGCTGCTGCTGCAGCCCCTGCTGCAGACCCTGCTGCTGCTGCTGCACAGGATGCTGCTCCGTCTGCTGCGTCAGGTGAGCCACGTAGCCGGAGATGAGATCGCCGGTTACGATGGTCAGCAACTGCATCGCTTCATCCTCCTCCTCCTCCTCCTCGCCGCAGCCACCGACCCTCGCCTGAATCTCCCCCGCAGAATGCGACGCGGCTTGGGCAGAGGCCGCAGGCTGCATGGCGGTGTAGGCCTCAGTGGCGGGTGTTGAGTCGTTGTTGCTGATTCCGCTGCTGCTGTGGGAGGGTCGTTGATGTCGCGAGGCAATTGAGGAGGTAGAGGAGGTGGAGGAGGTAGAAGAGGAGGTAGAGGAGGAGGTAGAGGAGGAGGTAGAGGAGGTGGCAACTTCGCGACTCGCTGGAAGCTGTTGGCTTCTACCTCCATTGCGATTTGGTTAACGGTGATGTCGTCGGATCGATCCGTGGATCGATTCCTCCATGCGATTACGTTAGAATCGACTTCGATTGCAAGCCGTCGGTCGATTCTGACCTCGATTCACGATCCTCACGGGGGGGGGTCACAGAGACCCATAGACTACAGTAGAGATAAAATAATAAAAATAATGTAAATAATAATAGAAATAAATAATAAATCACGACGTACAGGTTTTTGTGTGCTTTTTTTACACCTGATGAAGGAAGTTTGTGTTGCCTCTGAAACGTCGTGATTTTTTTTATTTTTTATATTATTTATATTTTTACCTACGTGACTTTACCGAAAAAACCTACTCCTGGCAGTCACGAAAGCTTCAAATGTAGAATTACTGATAGAGACCCATCGACTCTCTAAGTTGTCTTGTGGTTGTTGTTGGTTGTTTGACTTGCATCCCACTGGGATGTTTGCACACAGCGTTGGTGTAACGGTGATTTTTTTCTGCAATATTTTGCTGTCTTTTCTTGGATTTTCTGTTTGCACTCAGTCACATAGTCACTTTAAGATGTTTTTTGTTCATGTTTTGTTTGTTTTTCAGTTTGCACATAGTCACTTTAAGATGTTTTTTGTTTGTTTTTTCAGTTTGCACATAGTCACTTTAAGATGTTTTTTGTTCATGTTTTTGTTTGTTTTTTTCAGTTTGCACATAGTCACTTTAAGATGTTTTGTTTGTTTTTTCAGTTTGCACATAGTCACTTTAAGATGTTTTTTGTTCATGTTTTTGTTTGTTTTTTCAGTTTGCACATAGTCACTTTAAGATGTTTTTTGTTTGTTTTTTCATTTTGCACATAGTCACTTTAAGATGTTTTTTGTTCATGTTTGTTTGTGTTTCAGTTTGCACATAGTCACTTTAAGATGTTTTTTGGTTCATGTTTTTGTTTGTTTTTTCAGTTTGCACATAGTCACTTTAAGATGTTTTTTGTTCATGTTTTTTTGTTTTTTCAGTTTGCACCCGATTCAAGAACCGAATGGCTCACAGGGCTCTACCTAATACATGAACTTGAACTTGACTCACCACACAGAGACCCACAGACGACACCACGCAGACAGCCAATGACACCTGGGGGCTCTGCCCACGTGGTGCTTAAGCCCCGCCCCTTCCTGACACGTGACCCGCGCTGGGCGTGGCCAGACGCTGTCACGTGGGAGCTGCAGTGGTGCCACGTGTCTCTCTGCTGCTGCGCTACTTGAAGCCGGTACGGTTATAACAGCAATTGATTAAGAGGTTACTTGCCTTGACGGGTTAGCGGATCAATTTTGACTTAAAACTTTCGTGACTGCAGGAATTCATATTCTTGGTTCTTTTGGTAAAATCGCGTCGATTGAAAATAAAAAATAAGAAAAAAAATGGAAATAATAAAGCAAAACCCGCCATTTTTTCAATATTTTATTATAATTTTTTTCTATTTACGTGACTTTATAACAGAAAGAACCAATAATATATCGAGGGTTAGCCGATTTCATTCGTTAATCGATTTGTTGTCTGCTGGATTTTTGCACACAGAGTTGGTGTAACTGTGATTTTTTTCCTGCAAATTTTGGCTGTCTTTTCTTGGATTTTCTGTTTGCACTCAGTCACATTTACTTTAAGATGTTTTTGTTTGTTGCGGTTGTACCCGATTCAAGAGCCGAATGGCTCACAGGGCTATACCTAATACTTGAACTTGAAGTAGCGGTGACGTCACCACGACGCTTGTGCACACACCACACACACACACAGTCACACACACAGACACACACCACACACACAGTCACACACACAGTCACACACACACAGTCACACACACAGACACACACCACACACAGTCACACACACACACAGTCACACACAGACACACACCACACACAGTCACACACACAGACACACACCACACACACAGACACACACAGTCACACACACAGTCACACACACACACACAGTCACACACACCACACACACAGACACACACACAGACACACACACAGACACACAGACACACACAGTCTCACACACACACACAGACACACACCACACACACAGTCACACACCACAGACACACACACAGTCACACACAGACACACACAACAACAACAACCGCCATTTGCCACATTTTATGTTCGCACTTAGTCACAAAGTCACTTTAAGATGTTTTCTTGTCATTTTTGTTTTTTGTTTGTTGCGGTTGCACCCGATTCAAGAGCCGAATGGCTCACAGGGCTCTGTACCTAATACTTGAACTTGAACTTGCAGTAGTGCAGCTCATCAGGGGGCGGATTCAGCAAGTTGCAGCAGCCTCTTTCGAAGGTGCAGCGACGTCTCTCCAGCAGCAGCTGCAGTAGCAGCATCATCAGCAGCTGCAGTACACGTGCACAATTCATTCCAAGGTGTGTGTGTGTGTGGTGTGTGTGACTGTGTGTGACTGTGTGTGGTGTGTGACTGTGTGTGGTGTGTGTGGTATGTGACTGTGTGTGGGTGTCTGTGGTGTGTGTGGTGTGTGACTGTATGTGGTGTGTGTGGTGTTGTGACTGTGTGTGGGTGTGTGACTGTGTGTGACTGTGTGTGTGGTGTGTGTGGTGTGTGACTGTGTGTGGTGGTGACTGTATGTGGGTGTGTGACTGTGTGTGACTGTGTGGTGTGTGTGTGGGGTGTGTGACTGTGTGGGTGTGTGTGACTGTGTGTGACTGTGTGGTGTGTGTTGTGGGTGTGTGTGTGTGGTGTGTGACTGTGTGTGGTGTGTGACTGTGTTTGTGTGACTGTGTGTGGTGTGTGTGTGGTGTGTGGACTGTGTGTGGTGTGTGACTGTGTGTGGTGTGTGACTGTGTGTGGTGTGGACTGTGTGTGGTGTGTGACTGTGTGTGGGGTGTGTGTGGTGTGACTGTGTGTGTGACTGTGTGTGACTGTGTGTGTGACTGTGTGTGTGTTGTGTGACTGTGTTTGTGTGACTGTGTGTGTGTGTGCACAAGCATCGTGGTGACCCACCCCCCGTGTGCCACAGTGCCGGCCTTGATAAGTGCTGGCGAGATGAGGGGAGGGGCAGAGACGTCGCGAGAGATCGGCAAAGAGAAGGGGAGGCCAGGGGAAGACAGGAAGAGAGAGAGAGACATCAGAGGGCGCCGAACCTTCGTCGATTTATAAGCGAGAGGTTAGGGGGATTCAGTTGGGAAGGAGGGAGAGAGACGGGGAGGGGAGGAGGAGGGAGATGGGGGGGCAGAGAGAGAGAGAGATGGGGGGACAGAGAGGGGAGAGAGGGGGGGCAGAGGGAGAGAGGGGGGCAGGGAGGGAGAGAGACGGGGGGGCAGAGAGGGGGAGAGAGAGGGGGACAGGGAGGGAGAGACGGGGGGCAGAGAGGGGGGAGAGATAGGGGGGCAGAGGGAGAGGGGGCAGGAGGGGAGAGAGGGGGCAGAGAGGGGGCAGAGAGGGGGAGAGAGAGGGGGGCAGGGAGGGAGAGGGGGGCAGGGAGGGAGAGAGAGGGGGGCAGAAAGGGGAGAGACAAAAGGGCAGGGAGGGAGAGAGCTGTAGATGCCACTGGTTCTTCACGTTCTGTAGATGTAGATGCCACTGGTTCTTCACGTTCTGCAGATGTAGATGC